ACTAAACTGTAACATGAGTTGGGCTGACTGACCTAACCAATCTTCCTGAAGAACCTTTCCACAGAATCATAATTAGAAGGGATCGTAATCATGGCTGGCTGGGGAATTCTGGGGGTTGAAGTCCACACATCTTAAAGTTGCCAAGGTTGAGAAACGCTGGTGTAGGGGATTGTGTCATCCCACTTCACCTGATATTTAGTAGTTACACAATGCATTTTAATACTTACCTCTAATCCTTGGATGTTTCTAAGTACAATTTACAGGGCTGTGTGAAAAATGCTGTTTTAGGGAACCGCTGCTCCTACAAACTTCTGCATGACTTTGACCTAAGCACAGCGGTCTCTCCTGCACAGTTTAACAAATCTAACTCTATTTTACTCACATTACTACAGGATGATGAAATGCAAGACTTTGCAAATTACCGCATTATTATAAAAAAATGACTAAAACAAAATGCTTTTAGCAGGCTATAAATACTTGACCCTTGCAAGTTGTCTTCAAGAGACCAGATGCTCTATCCCCTAATATTTGAGGTGCACCCTCCTGCCCCACCCATGTGCTTAGTTAACAGATTTGGAGAACCACCTTCTTCATTAAATAATGAGAACGACATACCAAAATTAAATAGTGGGAAGATGCAGGAAACGTTGACGCCAGCCGGTCATCCGCAGCCACGGTTCCCGTAGAATTTGTTGGAAGAACATTGCTTAAATTATGACACCGCCGGGGTTAAATAATGGTGGTGGTGTTTGATGTCTAATACATTTGTTTCAATTGTGTTGCAGTACCTGTTGTTGTTCTGTACCTAGGTGTAAGTGCCCACGTTTTTTTAAGGACTCCTAGAATGTCTACACTCCTAGAAACACAGAAAGGAAGGACATTTTTGCTGTTTCTTCCCAAAGACACTGACACCATCCTGGAGTTGTAAAAACGCTGGCTAGACCACCCACGCTCTTACTTTATGGGCGAACCCAAATGAACAGATCCCGGGCAGGTGGGTGTCCTCTGCAAGACCCGGTGGCCAATTTTGTAGAACTTTGTTAGACAGTGTTTCTCAGCTCTGACAACTTTAAGACATGTGGACGTCAACTCCCAGAATTCCCCAGCCAGCATGTCTTAAAGTTGCCAAGGTTGACAAACACTGCTAAGCAACATGGTGAAATCTAAACCAGGCTTTGTGAGCCTGATCTGAGATGATCACAGCACATCGCCGTGACTTGAGAGCGGGTGCCCCAGTGCCTGTGGCCTTCTTCCCCGGCAGAAACCACTCCTTGGTGCCCACTAGCCTTCCTGCCCCACCTGACTTCCCCAAAGCAGCGTCTGCCGCGCGTGTCCGTGTAACGCATAATTCCTTTTAGTGGGGCTGTGAATAACAGCGGTGTCCATTTTATGGACATAACGTAGGTTTGGAGCTTAAAAGGAAGGGCGACCCTAGCTTTGGTGACTTGCTCGGCCAACCAGGGTTCAAGCAGACCATGGCTAATGACGGCCAACCCGGGCAAAAGAAGGGAATCCGAGGCAAACGCAGGCTGGAAAGCCGGGAGAACCGCCCGAACAGCAGGACTTACACGGGGCGCCGTAAAGGGGCAGGTGACGCTTCAGAATCGAAACGGGCGTCTCCTTGCTGGCGCAG